TTTATCTGCACCGTGTAGGAAAATTACGGTCCCAGCTGTTACAAAAAATTGAAGTTCAAGTACAGGTCCAGCCCAAATCAGTTCACAGTTTAAAGCCCAAACTCAGGCCACCTCAAGTTTTGGAAGCCCAACCTCAGATTTTAACGTCTTTATTTCTCGTAAATTAGTAATTAATTATGTTTTTTTTAAGGAAATAATTAATTAAGTTACTTGTACGATATACGAGATTATTTATATTTAATATTAACTATGATTAAATTTATGCTTAATAAATAAAAATTTAAATATTTTTTAGAAAATAGTATCAAGAAATATTTATAATACAAATATTTTATCTATATTATTTTAGTGTAAAAAATCTTAAATATTTATAAAATGAAGATTCATTTTTAAAAAAAATTAATTTTTGTATGCTAGTTTTTTTCTTTTTGAAATGTATTACTCACTTGTGTAAGGTTTAATTATTAATGCCAATAATATAAATCTTAATTCACAGTTTTTATTTTTTAGAGTCCGTTTGAACAAATAACTAATTTAAGATTTTATTTAATGAGTTCTTATGTTATAAGTACTTAAAATCCTTAAATTGTTACATTTTGAGATACATATGAACAAAGACTTATACAAATTTAAAGTGTTTGAATATATTATTATTTAAGTACTTATAAGATATTATCTATTTTTAAAAATTAAAAAATTATAAATTAAATTTTAATTGAAAATAAAATAAAAAAGACTTAAAATGCCTTTGTTCCCTACAACATTAATTTGTTTTGATTTTTTTCTTGTAAATTTTTTTCTTTACTTTTCATCTTTCTAAAATTAAATTTATTGTTTTAAATTCCTAATTTTTGTGTGATCATTAAAACATTTAAAAGGTTAAGTGAACATCTTAAGTATTACATATAATTTTCAGTGATATCATGTCAGTGTTTGATATCTCTAAAATTTCATATAGATCATTAAAATAATTATTATTTATCTGTCTTAAAATAACTGTTAGAGACAAAAAAAGTGACTTTAAATTTTACTAGGATGAAAATAAAAAAAATATTTTATTAGGACCAAAATAAAATTTATTTATTTTAGGAGGATCAAGAACAATGTTTTCAAATTTTAGAAGAATGGAAAACAAAGATAAAAAATTACAAGAATCAAAATCATAACTCTCTAATTTTACAAGGACTAAAAATATATTTAAACCAAATAAAAATATAAAAAAAATAACTGAATAATTTTTAAAAATGATATTACACATCACAATATATTAAAAATAATATAAATTTATTAGTCACCATTCACATGATTTTAGTTTATAAAAAAATAAAATTATTAAAAAAAAGAGAGAAATCAATATTATATATAACCATTATTAAAGATTAAGAACCATAAATTTTCAAAATTAAAAACTAATTCTATATATTTTATAAAATTATGATTAAAAAAATTATTGTATTAACAACAAAATTATCTCAGATGTGTTATTTTAGATATAAAAAAAAAGTTACAAGTTCTTTTATTATGGGAGAATGTATATTTTGGAAGAAAGAGATAAAAAATGGAGAAAAAAACAAAGAAAAACAAATTTTTTTGAAGAGAGAAACGAAATCTTTAAAGGGTGTAATAAGGGACGGATACACATGTATCCTACTGGGGCATTTGCCCCTACTAACATTTTTTATATTTTATTAATTTATATATATATATACATATATATTATATTAAGATTTAAATATGTTTTTATTCTCTCAATTTTAAAATTATTGTTCTTAATTTCTATAATTTTTAAAAATATCTTTTTAGTCTCTCAAGTCATCAATAACATATATAAAAGTGACATATTAAAATAGTAATGTAGCTTTAATTAGATTTGATGTGATGTTTTAACGGAAAAAGATGTCAATAAATAGATTTTAGGCAATAATGTTTGATAGATTTCTCAACAAAATTTGAGTATAAAAATTAAAACAAGATTTTTTAAAATTACAAGGATTAAAAAGACCTATTTTTAATTTGAGGGACTAAAGACAAATTTACTTTAAATTTGAGATATTAAAAACATATTTAAATCTATTATAAATTTATAATAATATACTCACACTTGTATGTTAAAAACTAAGTGCTCCCACTCTTTTCTATATTTTTATTTTATTAAAAAATCAAAGTTAATATATTAAGTTTTTGAAAAAAAAATAAATTTTAAAATAAGTGTCATGTTAGTTTTTTAATATAATATTAATTATCTTCTTTTTTTTTCATTTATACCTTTCATAATATTTTTTAGAAAGTGAACATTGTATTGCATTGTTTATAGTAAATAAGATTAATTATAAGTTTTTTATTTATAATTTGTATGCAACAACCTAAATTGATATTTATTATAAAATAAAGGAGTACTAGTTATAGTTAAATCAAGTCAGTAAAAGAATTAAGGAATGATGATTGACCTGAATTCATATTATATTATTTTTAAAATGAAAAAAAGGTCAAAATTTTGATAAGAGATATAGAAAGAGATATTTTTGAAAGTATTAAAAATGAGAAAATTATTCAATATTTTTAAAATATAAAATCTCATAGAGAACAATTTAATATAAATTTATATATTTAATACTACAAATTTATGTATAAATATTGCCTCCACTACTTAAAATTTATGATCCGTCACTTAGAGTAATGAAAATGAATATAAAACTTATTTTTAGTGAAAAATAAAATATAAAAAATAAAAAATAAAAAAATATTTAATATGACAAAATTCAAACTTAAATATTTCTCATAAGCTAAATAATAAATTATACCATACAACTTACTAAAATAAATTCAAAACATCTTATTATTTTATAAGTTTATATAAATTCTTTCAAAAGTACTTATGAAATAAAATAAGTATAAATAAAACATTTATAATCTCCTTCAAATGAAGTACTTTTTGTTATATATATATAT